AGTCACTCCACGAATGACACAACGCAAACAGCCAATTGTGCAGCTTTGAACTAATCCTCTGTTGGCTCAGCGGTAAATCTGAGAGCTTACAACATTAAAATCAGTGTTTCGATACTCGCAGTGGACATAGCTATGAACTTAACAATAAACAAACAAAGCTCTGAGCTAAAATAAACAAACAATGCAATTTTAATATTTTTACTATACAATTTGTGATATTAACATATATAAGGTCGCATTATATGACTTATTTTTAATATTATTAACTTTCAGTCAATAGATACTCTATCTATTACAAATTTCAGAAGTAATATTATGACCAAAGTTAACATTTAGCAAGAACTCCTGTTCGGTCACAAGATGACAGCAACATACACATACATGACACTAAATGACTAGGATTTCTTGAGTTTGTAATATAATTTACTCAAATTACTAAGCCTCGTATATTTTTTCAATTCATTGTTTGATAATTTGTCAAGATGATCTTTTACTCCTCCAGTTCATTTGATATTGTCTCATTGGTTAGCTTACTGGACTATGTATGGATTTGAGGTCGGTGGTTCGCGTCCCGTTATCACACACACACACACACCATCGTGCTTTGCACTTTGGGAGCATTTTAAGCCTGATAGCCAAATCCCACTATTCAATTAGAGTAATCCAAGAGTTGGTGGTGTTGAACAACTGCCTTTGCTCTAGTCTATTCACTCCAAAATTATGGGCGACTAGCTCAGATAGCTCTCGAGTAGGTTTGCACGAAATTCAACAAACAAACAAAAATCATTTGATACACTTCCACCCAACTTCATCTATTCTAATTCAACTTCAAACTCAGCGACATCGAAGTTCAATAAATGTGCGGATATAGTGAGTAAGTTTTATTGGGAAAAATAAGATTTCAGGTCAACAATTCAGTAACAAATACGGTTCTTGTTTGTCTTTTATGAGACGTAATTTGATTAATGATGTAATTTTACGGAATAAACACAGGCTGTGTTTGACGTGCGTTTATAGTAACTTGCAATTACTTTAATTAAGTTAGCAGACTATTCCAGCAGTCTCTTGGTATACTTAAAGCAATTTGTGCATCATAAACACATCACGATGTCAGTGAAATAATATATTGTGAAACTTTTAGTGTAAATATTCCTCCAAAAATATTTCAGGTTTTTCTCTCGTAAACATTAAATAATAACAGCTGTAGTAGAGTGACGTAGTATATAATCTCGAAAATAGATGACCAAGTAAACGAACTACCTCTCTATCGCTAGAAACTGGGTTTCGATACCTATGGTGGGCAAAGCACAGATAGCCCATTGCGTAGCTTTGTGTTTAACTACAAACAAACAAGTAAAGAAACCTCTCTATCCTAATATCATTTGTTTTATTTTTGGAACAATATATATATATATATATATATATTGTGTATGTTGTACGATTTGATTGGCTATTAAATAATATTAAGAAATAATTAGAGCCAATATTTCCAAAATAGAGTGATCTTTATGTTTTCAATTTTGAAAAAAAAAAACAACAAGACAGTCCAGGGATCTAATTCACGAGAAATTGTGCTCCTAGTGCTACTCAAAGTATTTTTAAGTTTATATTTTATAGTTTATTATTTTTTTATTTGAATTAAGTTTAATGCAATGCATGTCACTAAGTAAGGATTGCAGTTTAGAAAGGGTATTTCGTGAACAAAGTCAGTGTACCACAAATGCTTCTTTCTATCTGCTACGTCATTCTGCTCCAGCAGTTACTGTTTAGTGTTTACCCTTTCTTTTTCTCTTAGAATCCAGCGCTCTCTAAATAAGAAAGTGTTCTATTTCAAGAGTAAATGAGACCAAAATTAAGAGTAACTAACATTTTTATTTTTTACTTTTGAAGTTCATATGTCATGCTGTGTTGTAGCCTACAGACTGCATAATTCTTCTGGTGGTTCATGCCATGCGCATGTTATACTGACGTCACGACATTACAAATTGCAGCCTTAAGCATTGGTGCGAATGGCTAAAACAGGTGACCCCTCCTGGCAGCCTTCGGGGGAATAATGTATTTACATTGATATTAAAAAATGCTAGTAATAGCGTTATCATTTTGAACTATTTCTTGTGGGTCACGTCATTTAGAGGTGAGAAGCCACCTTATTCTCGTGTTATCTTGAAAGTATTTGTCTTTAACTTTAGTAACATTCTCAGCATTTAAGATGTTACTTCGAAAAGCAATGAATATAAATAAGCTGGTGAACTATAAATACGACGTAACAACCTTATATTATGTTACTAAACAGGAAGTTTTATCTTACTAACACTATGGTGATATTTATTTCAAAGTTCAAGTTAACCGTAAAGTCAGTATGGGTATTTGAAACAACCATTAGGGCGAACCATGTAACGTAGATGGAAAAATCATTTGATATGTGCATAAGGATTCAATAGGAGTCCTAGTTATAGCAGGTTTTAAATGCCTTCATCATTATTTTATATTATGCATTGGAGCACGTAACATATTGACACGAATCGCCCGAGCCTCTAAAAAATTACACCCTTCATTTGAGGAATGTTTACCAGAATTTTCAGAAAGCCCATAATAGTCAGCAGAACTGAGGTTAGGGGAGTATGGTGGCCAGGCATGACGCAGACGATGAGGATCTTTTAGCCGCCACGTACGTCAAACCTAGCTACCATATTCCCCTGACTTCAGCCCTGCTGACTACTATGAGCTTTTGTTCTCTGGCTATAACACTTACCTCAAACCTACCACCATATTCCCCTGACTTCAGCCCTGCTGACTACTATGAGCTTTTGTTCTATGGCTATAACACTTACCTCAAACCTAACCACCATTTCCCCCTGACTTCAGCTCTGCTGACTACTATGAGCTTTTGTTCTATGGCTATAACACTTACCTCAAACCTAACCACCATATTCCCCTGACTTCAGCCCTACAGACTACTATGAGCTTTTGTTCTATGGCTATAACACTTACCTCAAACCTAGCTACCATATTCTTCTGACTTTCAGCCCTGCTGACTACTATGAATTTTTGTTCTACGGCTATAACACAGTAAACATTTTCAAATGAAGGGTGTCGTTGTGACAGAGGTTTGGGCAATTTCTGTTACGCGGTTCCAATGCACAATACATTTGTTAGGATGGACGTAGTAATCGAAAATGACAGTGACACTTGCTATGTATGTGATCCTAGTGTCATTTTCAGAAACAAAAAATGTTCGTTTTGCGATTCTTTATGGATGTACGCAAAGTATTTTGTTCACATGTTATAACTTTTCGGAATACTGACACTAATTCTCTCTCTCTATACATATATAAATATACACACATATACTGACATCGTGGAATTTTCCTCACAACTTTTAATGTTTTTCTCTTGGTAAATAGTAATTAAAGTATTTAAACAGCTTTCAAATCAAGTATAATTTATTCTAGGTGGCATAAACCTTGAGCCATAAACTTTACCATCAATGTGGGTACCATCTAGTCAGTTCCCTTTCGTTGAACAATTTTGCTTTTTCACAAAACGTTTAGAATAATTATTATAGAATAAACTAATATATTTGATTTATTAGAAATTAAAAATATTTTTCAATGTTTAGTCTGTTTCATAAAATGGGTTTCTGATTAATTTGGATATCATATTACTTGCTGAAACTAGAAAACTATGTTTCTTTCCGGCCAATCGGATGGATATTGTGCTTAATCTATGATAATTAATTTTTTGGTTTGTTAGTTACTGATATTGGCATAGTGATTGCTTTCAAACAATCCCCTAGTGGCACAACGGTATGTCTACGGACATACAACGATAGAAACTGGTTTTCGATACCCGTGGTGGGCAGAGCACAGGCAGCCCATTGTGTAGCTTTGTGCTTAATTACAAACAAGCTTTGAAACGCAGAACTTAATTATTTCATAATTCATATTCATCATACTCTTATAAAATAATCAAACTCCGCTCATTACTCTCGCGTCCAATGTTTATATTTTAAATCTTACTTGAATTATAAAACATATTTACTTAATAAAATTATTATTAATTTATCAATAAATACAAGAAAGAAAAACGCATGTTAAACGCTATTCAGTGAATTACTTACCCATGCTTGTTGTGCAAGTTGTGTTATCTAATATGAATTCTAACGTGAGATGATTCATATTCCAGATATTCAAACAATCAATAAAACAATGGGTAAAACTAAGCCGAGTATTTGTGATGAAAATCACACAATGTTACAAACTAAAATCAAATATTTTAAGGTGTTAAAACGCCACCTGCAGTCAAGCATGATTTTTATCACAATCATTAGGCCTATAAGTTCCATTGCGTCACCATATTTTGACGTTTAACACTGTACAAATGGGTAAAAAAGTTTACTCTTAAGGCAAGAGCAGAGATGGCAAATAGAACAGAAAGGTTATAAGAAAATTATCCATTTACAAAACTAATCAATGAACCTTTAATATAGTACCAAAGCCGAAAAAGAACAAATAACACCTACGGCCATTACTTGCTTTCCGGGTCTGCAGCTGAGAGTCATAAATTTAGGCCACCACGTGGCTTTCGTAATCTTTTATTACAATTTTATTTCAGAGAAATATCTCTATAAATGTTTATAAATAGACAAAAATTTATGATTATAAGAGTTTGTGTCCATAATATCTTGGTGTTAAGTAATGTTTAATATTGATAGTGAAAACACTTGTTTCTCTGACAAATAAAAACAGAAGTTGAAACATGGAGCACATTGACGGTCTAATTCGAAAAAGACACCGCCCTAACCTACTAGCACTGCGTAGATCTATTAGTTCTAGCTTATTTTTTTCTTTTTATATTTGTCATTACTTATTGTATTATGTGGTTGCCGTGCTAACACAAATCGATCATTTACTTCTCGTCGGATAGGGCTAGAGCAACTATAACGTTGTTGTCATACTGGTCATACATGAGACGTAATCTGTTAATCAAGCCCACAGCGTACGAAGTACGTAGGGTTTTATGTAAGAAGGCTTAACTTTCCCGCCTCTAGCAACTCCAGGGAACCATATGTAACAACAATTTAAAAGATCGAATTGGCAAGTAGGGTTGTTGGCCGCAGTGCCCTGCTTTTTCTCGTGCTAAGGTGTCGACTGAACAAAAACAAGTATAAAGGTAGATTGGTAGTTTACCAGGAGCACAGTGAAAATATACGAGTTGTCTTATAAAGTTATAGCTTGGAAGAAATAGTCCGCGCGAGCAACCGAAACACAATGAGATTACGAACCGTAAGTATGACTTAGTAAATAGAAGACTAACATACTATTAAATTTATTTGCGCAACAAACAATACAGTATATAAAAATGGGATGACCTGTTCTGAATGATTTAGCAAATGATCGCGGACGCAAAAATAAAAAAATAAAAAAGATGTCACTCGTAACGAGTTTGTTTGTTGCTAATACTTCTGAGATAAGTTATAACAGTATAATAGAGTTTATCGAATAAACGTGTCTTATTATAGTACCCAATTGCAGCTCTATTTTCGCGCGTGGTCAGAGACTAGAATTAACCTGAAAAGTAAATAATAATAAATTGAGAACTTAGCATGTTAGGATTCTCTGATAATTAATTCATTGCAGTAAAAAATATTCGAATTCATCCCACATATCTACTAAAACGTTGCTTTGGTTTGGGAACTTAAAATAAATACATCTGCCGTCCTTAAAAAAGGAAATGTTATCAAAGCCGTTTTTGAAAACCGACAGTTAACAATGTTCACTTTTAATTAATCATATACATTTTAATTATTATTATGTTCCGAATTAATGGAAAGAGCTGTGAAATGTGTTTTAAAATTTTATTCTAACTCCAAGTTGTTGTGTACATTCATGTTTTTCGTAATGGAATATACAGGACTCTGGTGCTCATTTTTATATTTAATACCTTTTAAACAGTAAAGCGATCAAATCTGCTACAAAGGTTATTATTAGTTCTCACTTTAAAACTCGTTTGCACTTCACATTCATTTGGGAGTGATCTAGGACAGCGTGTTCCTCTGCCAAATTAATTGTAGAAAGCCGCAGTATTTATGGGACAAAGGGAATAGAACATAGCTACATTAGTAACAAACTAGAAACATGCACATTGCATTTATGATTTAACAAGACTTGAGTCCGAGGTTCGAGCTTTCATATCAATAAAATTACAATGAAAAGTTAGAATTGTCTAAATGTTAATAATTTAATGTGATGTATTCAAAACTCTCCTTTAATCATTAATTCTAATTATTTTTTTTTCTCCAGGTGTGTTTTGTTATTTTATGTATCTCCTGCTACGCCAACGGCGGTTACACTGGTTACGGTGGTTATGACAATGGTGCTTCTGGTTATGGTCAACCTTATGGATTTAAACATGGCAAAGGAGTTGCATTTAAGACACGTCATCATTTTCCAGGTGGATATGGCGAGGGTGCTTATCAAGGGATCGGGCAGAGTGTCCACGTAGATCTTCCTGGTGGCGGCAAGGCCTACGGCTACTCAGGAGGCTATAGCATGGGCTATGGAGCCAGCTATGGCCATGGTGCTCCAAATCATTTCTCGGGAGGACTCGGTCACGCAGTGGGACACGGCAAAGGTTACAGCGGTTCGTTTGGCTACGGTAACCCAGCTGTGGGGCAACATGCCTTGTCTGGCCTTCACCAACAAATCCAAAACATTGTCCACAGCGCATTCAGCGGAGGTCATCAAGGTGGCTTGTTTGGTGGCAATCCTTTCTTGCCGTTTTAATTCTTCCATTATAAATCTTTTTGTTATTAAATGATATTTATTATACTTCACTGCTTGGGAACAAGAGTTTAATGTAACTATGCGCTTGTAAATAAAATTTACCTGTCAAACAATGAAAGTTAATCTCATCCACGTAAGAATTACTTTTTTAATGTATACTTGTATGATTAGTTAAAGCTAATATTATTATTAAAGTAATATCGTAAATTTACGGAAACTGGACAATTGTTTACGCTAAAACACAGTCAAGAGCACATTTCAAAATGTCTTGCACTCCGTTTTCTGAACAAATAAGAATATAACAAAAGAGAAAGCAGAAAACTAAATTGTTTTATCCAAAAACTTACTTTTACGTTAAATTTTTATATCAGGTTAGGAGAAGGTATTTAATAAGTTCTACGAATTTTACGGTTTTTGCTCTAGCGGAAAAAGTTTGGAACCACTTATCCTAATGATGAGAATCATACTATCCTCTTCCTTCCCAATGGCTCCACAGTTGATCTGCAGGCTTACAACGCTAAAAATCGAGTTTCGATACCCGTGCAGAGAATCCATTGTGAAGCCTTGTGCTCAATAACAACCAAAACTAACCTGTTAATTAAACGAGCTTATAATTTTCTTAAAATTATAGTTTTCCATACCTTCATATTGCTATTACTGGGAATTTTAAGATTTTTCAATCCTACAGAATAAATGCACTCTACTTAGATTTTTTTAGGCCACAAACCCGGATTGAGTCTATCAGTTCAATGGGAAATGACTCTATAGAATTACTCAGTAGTAGGTTTTTAATATTTTACATACAAATATTTCTTCGTTTATACGGCTATGGTAGAGCTAATTAGTTTGGACGAATACGTATCTGTTTTTAAGGTTCCGTGGTTCTAGTTTCCTTAGTTATATCCTTTATGGAATCCCTGTAAATCTAATTCAATTGAAACAGGAAGCTGATACTATTTGTTTATGATTTAGTACAGTATTCGCTCTTACTCTGATCCAATAATTTACATTATTTTTTTTGTTTGCGTTCTAAAATGCTTTATTTAGAACAAAATAAAATTCTATAGGATATCCTAAAAGAAGAAATAATAGATACACTTAAAATTGGTTTTATTAAACACTTTCCTAAATATTTTAGACTAAAACTTCCTTAGCCTTATACAATATATTATATTAGCAAAATGGAGTTCGTGTAATTTCATAGTTTTGTTTCCATCGTTTAGTTATTTAGCGGCGTTAGTGATTTTACGGGTTAGTTTATCATAAGTACAAGAAAATATAGTCATTAAAAAAATTCAAATCAAGCGTGCCTTAGTGAGTTATATAACAACTAAAGTTATACCACTTCTGTTTTTCAGTTGCTAAGTAATTTTTTGCTTGTTATTTTTGTAGAATATTATACCAATCTTTCTTTTTTAATGATACTTATATTTCCTAATTTTTCATGACATTTCAACAAACTGATGTATTTAGGTTGAACCATTTAGGTTACATGAAATGTAAACAAACAAACAAAAACAATAAGTTTGTCTGCTCTCATATATATTCGTTTTGAGTTGCAAACACAAGATTTTCTTTAACGTTTTTTGTAAAAAGCTGTATTTATACGCATATAGAATATATGAATTGCTTAGTTCTAAAATAACTGTTACGTTTATCTAGTGCCGAATTAGACGCAGCCTCGGATAGAGAGTTCCAATTTTTCTGCCTCTCTCTTTCTCTGTATCTTATAAAACGTTACACAATGTTTCTTCATGTTTGAATTTTAGATTCTGCTTATTACATTTCCAAATATACATATTTTCCATATGTCATAAATTCTGGGATTAACATATACAAATAATAATATATTATGATATATAATTATAATATATTATAAGTTTGTGTGTGTGTTTTCTTCACGATAGAACTCCCAGTTGTATGCATATTTTTCAGCAGGCAGCAAAACTTTCGACGGTTAAAGATACAACAATAACCATTTTTCTACTTTCTTCCTCGCCCACTTACCCTATGGCTCATTAATCTTGAGGGTTTATAATGCTAAAATTCGGGGCTAGATTCCTGCGATCATAATATGATTAGTATTATAATGTATAGATAACTATGTTTAACATAATGTAATGCTTTGTCTGTTGTACTTTACTTTTTTCTCTCCTGTTTTTAAGGCTTATACAAAACATGAAGTGAATCTTACCATTAACCAATCTTAACGTTTTTTTGATTCATTAATGAGAGGATTAAGTATTTCTAAACATAAGATTTTAACATCTCAGGGTTTAAAAAAATTAAATTCAAATTTTGCGAAATATATTTTCAGTCATTGTTAAATAACTGTAAACATAAAAAGTCCAAGACTGCAGAAGGGAAACCAACTTAAACAATGGAACATTACAAAGAGCGGTATCAAAGCAAAATTTCTTCAAGTTAAGACACAGGAAATGTTTGTGTAGCTGTTTTCACTCAGGAGTCTTCATACGTAATTCACTAGTCAAAATGCTTTTAAAATATTCTTTATTAAACGTCCTTATTTTGCCGTATAGCATATAAAATACGTAACTAGGTGTTTATTATGAGCATCTATTTTTAAAGTAAATTTTACAATGAATAAAAAGAACAAAAGCGAATTATCATTATATAATTGTAGCATTGCACAACTTATCTGTACTTAATACCTGTATAATAACCGCTGGTGGCTTGGCTTAACTTGATGGTTAGGGCGTTCGACTCACAATCTGCGGGTCGCGGGATCGAATCCCGTCACCGTTTCAGCCGTGAGGGTAGGTGTTATAATGTGATAGTCAATCTCACTTTTCGTTGATAAAAAGGTAGCCCAAAAGTTGGCGTGGATGTTGTTGACTAGCTGCCTTTCTTCTAGTCTATCACTTCTAAGAACCGGCATGGCCAGGTGGTTAGGGCGCTTAACTTACAATCTCCGTCTCTCCAAACATGCTCGCCCTTTCAGCCGTGGAGGCGTTATAATGTGACGGTCAATCCCACTATTAGTTTGTAAAAAAGTGGCCCAAGAGTTGGCGGTGGGTGATGATCACTAGGTTCCTTCCCTCTAGTCTTACACTGCTAAATTAGGGACGGCTAGTGCAGATAACTCTCGCGTAACTTTGCGCGAAATTCAAAAACAAGCAAACAAATCACTTATAAATGAAGAATGGCTGGCGTAGATAGTCTTCGAGTAGCTTTACAAGAAACTCAACAAACTAATAATAATCGCTGGATTATTATGCCGTATTAACCTCAAGCTCTAATTGCTACAAAATGTCAACTTACATTAAAATAAAGTATATTGGCTAACGCAAATTTATAACGGCCTTACCATAACCTTATCATTACCAGTTGTAGATTTCATAAAATTATTGTTATTATTATTTTTTTTGCTTAAACCGCATAGTTTACTTTTCATAACTTCTTGTGTCGTTGACACCGAGCTAATGAAACCTGATATTTTGGTAGAAGCTGCAGCTATTAAATCTTTATAGAAGGTATATTCTTCGCTGGTCTTGTATCTTCGTTATAACGAAGCCAATTAGCTGTTAATAAAGCTATACTTTATTTAGTTGGTACTTAACTCTAACAATCAGGTGATACATTAAATATAAAGAGTTTGAACAAGTCATCAATAATGATAACGACATTTTATGAATAAAAAATGTATATTAGTATTGGTTTATTATAAATAAAGGAAATTTAAAAATAAAAAGTTCAGTATACAAGTGAAGAAAGTATTTGGAAATCGTTCTTAGAGTTCAGGTTCAAAAGTAATGAATAAATAAATTCCCAGCTAAGTCCAAAAACAACTCAAATCCGTTAGGACGACCTAGATAATCGAGCAACCTAATGTCCCCGTCGCACCCACTTATTCTAACTATACATTTAGTCATATGTAAGAAATGACGTAACTTCAATTATGCATTATAGTTACATTAGGTTTTTATAACAGTTTAATGAAATTCTGTTAAATAATTGGTAAGAATTGTTACATGCAAAAAAGAACAGTTTTAACATTTATTTATTTATTTGTTTTCCTGAATGGCACTTTAAGTACAACACACGGATATTCTTAAAAACGTTTAATAATTAGTTGGTGCACGTTCGAATCGGGTAGACCCAGGATCGAATCAACATAGAAATAGTCCTTCTCAAAATATACCTGATAACAGCAGAAGCATAGCTACTGAAACGTAGGATAAAATATAGTTAGTAATTAGTATTTAGTTGTAGAAAAATAAATGAAATAGATAAAATAACAAAATATAGGTTAATTAATAATTAGTTTGGTGATCAAGTAAACATGACAACAACTTTATGCCCACGATGGGAAATTGGCCAGATTAGAGACCTATAACCTTGATATGTGTCTGTAGGAAAAGCAACGAATTATGTACAAATAGTGAGATTGACTGTCATTTTTGTAACGCACTGATAGCATGTTTGATAGTACACTAAGTTCCAGAACAAGCTCAGGTCTTATTAATTTGTTGAGTTCTTTTAAAATCTCAGAAACAAAACGTTTCCTGTAAGAAACTGTTACATGGAACAAAACGTTAAAATAAGCAAGCAAAATAATATTCTCTCGGGGTTTTAAATGAAAGAATAACTTTTAAAATAAGAATAACAAATCACTTCGAAGGAACTATAGTTTTCATAAACTTCTCTGTGTTTATACGTTAATAAGCTAATATTAACTTTGTTTTATCTAGCTAGCTCTGTATTTGTGTTGATGAAAGACCTGTTTTGCAAGAAAGTTATGATTAAATCAAAACTTTTACCAAATGCATTTGCTTAATTAATCAAATGATTGAAAACATAGAAATACTGACTGCTAAGCCTAATACTTATAGTTAATACAAATCAATACATCAGTTTCCTCTATTTAAAAAATTAACGTGCAAGAAGGTTATGATCAAATCAACACTTCTAACAAATGCATCTGCTTAATGTATCAAATGGGTTCATTTAAGATATTTAAGATCATAATCCCCCCTCTCCCAGTGGCACAGCGGTATGTCTGCGGACGTATACCGTTAGAAACCGGGTTTCGATACCCTTGGTGAGTAGAGCACAGA